TCTTCACATGCTTTTGTCTCCAGGCCCCTAACCATCCTAGTTGCTCTTCTTTGCACTTTTTCCAAGATCTCAACATCTTTTTTGTAATGGGACCAAAACTGAATGCAGTATTCCAGGTGTGGCCTTATTAAAGATTTATAAAGCAGTGCTAATATTTAAATTCATTGGTGGCATGACTATGTGATTTGCACCTCACAAGCACTAAACTCAGTGCTTATTTCTGTGATCAGTTGCAAGATGAGCTGTTTAAATAGTGCTAAATACTTTATATACACTGCTCAAAAAAAAAATAAAGGGAACACAAAAATAAGACATCCTAGATCTGAATGAATGAAATGTTCTTATTAAATACTTTGTTCATTACATAGTTGAATGTGCTGACAACCAAAATCACACAAAAATTATCAATGGAAATCAAATTTAGCAACCTATGGAGGTCTGGATTTGGAGTTAGACTCAAAATTAAAGTGGGAAAAAACACTACAGGCTGATCCAACTTTGATGTAATGTCCTTAAAAGAAGTCAAAATGAGGCTCAGTAGTGTGTGTGGCCTCCACATGCCTGTATGACCTCCCTACAACGCCTGGGCATGCTCCTGATGAGGTGACAGATGGTCTCCTGAGGGATCTCCTCCCACACCTGGACTAAAGCACCCCCCAACTCCTGGACAGTCTGTGGTGCAACGTGGCGTTGGTGGATGGAGCGAGACATGATGTCCCAGATGTGCTCAATTGGATTCAGGTCTGGGGAACGGGCAGGCCAGTCCATAGCATCAATGCCTTCGTCTTGCAGGAACTGCTGACACACTCCAGCCACATGAGGTCTAGCATTATCTTGCATTAGGAGGAACCCAGGGCCAACCGCACCAGCATATGGTCTCACAAGGGGTCTGAGGATCTCATCTCAGTACCTAATGGCAGTCAGGCTACCTCTGGCGAGCACATGGAGGGCTGTGAGGCTCCCTAAAGAAATGCCACCCCACACCACTACTGACCCACTGCCAAACTGGTCATGCTGGAGGATGTTGCAGGCAGCAGAACGTTCTCCACAGCATCTCCAGACCCTGTCACGTCTGTCACATGTGCTCAGTGTGAACCTGCTGTCATCTGTGAAGAGCACAGGGCGCCAGTGGTGAATTTGCCAATCTTGGTGTTCTCTGACAAATGCCAAACGTCCTGCACGGTGTTGGGCTGTAAGCACAACCCCCACCTGTGGACATCAGGCCCTCATACTACCCTCAAGGAGTCTGTTTCTGACCGTTTGAGCAGCCACATGCACATTTGTGGCCTGCTGGGGGTCATTTTGCAGGGCTCTGGCAGTGCTCCTCCTGTCCCTCCTTGCACAAAGGCAGAGGTAGCGATCCTGATGCTGGGTTGTTGCCCTCCTACAGCCTCCTCCACGTCTCCTGATGTACTGGCCTCTCTCCTGGTAGCACCTCCATGCTCTGGACACTACGCTGACAGACACAGCAAACCTTCTTGCCACAGCTCACATTGATGTGCCATCCTGGATGAGCTGCACTACCTGAGCCACTTGTGTGGGTTGTAGACTCCATCTCATGCTACCACTAGAGTGAAAGCACCGCCAGCATTCAAAAGTGACCAAACCATCAGCCAGAAAGCATAGGAACTGAGAAGTGGTCTGTGGTCACCACCTGCAGAACCGCTCCTTTATTGGGGATGTCTTGCTAACTGCCTATGCTTTCCACCTGTTGTCTATTCCATTTGCACAACAACATGTGAAACTGATCGTCAATCAGTGTTGCTACCTAAGCGGACAGTTTGATTTCACAGAAGTGTGATAGACTTGGAGTTCCATTGTGTTGTTTAAGTGTTCCCTTTATTTTTTTGAGCAGTGTACATTTATGCTCCATTTGCTCTGTAGCAACTTAAAACAAAAAGCTTCACCAGAGCAAACATTATAAGCAGGGTGGGCTTCAAAAATTTTAGCAAGGGGTTCTCCTCCTGGTTGCTGGGTGGGTGTGGCCATGGTGGGCGTGGCCTAGTCGGCCTCCTGCACCACGGCGGGGGCATTTTTGCCCTCCCTCCCTGGGCTCAGGAGGCTTTTTTCGAGCCTCCGGGAGGGCAAAAACGGCCACCCCAGGCTCCGGAGGTGCTCTGGAAGCCTCCTGGGAGGCCCGTTTTTCACCCTCCCTGAGCCTCTGCAGGCCACCTGCACTTACCTGCATCCAAAACGGGCTGGGTGGGGACTCCTGGGAGGGGAGGGGTGGGCATGGACAGCCAGGAGTGGGATTTGGGGGTCCTCTCAAGCCCCTGCAAGCCCCCAGCAGCCCACCCCTGATTATAAGAGATTACACACACACACACACACTTGTTTGCTCATTTTTTGCAAACAACAGATGGGCGAATGGATAGTCCACACGACTCACAACATATAATCATACTGTGGTTGAAATTTTGGGCAAGGATTGAGGGAAAAACTTACTTCAAAGCTTGATTTATGATGAAATTAATGGAGGGATCCCAGATCAATAATCAACTCTCAGACTAATAAATTATGAGACTGTTAGGTGCCAGCAGCTTGATTTTAGCTTCTATATGCAATTCTTTTTTTGTAAAAAAATATTCAAATGGAAAGATGCTTCAGTGTTACATTCACGTGTTTCTCCTTCAACAGTTCCCAAAGCAGTAGGCAACCCCAATATTCACAAGTCCATGCTCAAAACTTAAATTTGCTTTTCTGATCCATTACAAACACGAGAACTCTGTTCAGGCCGTGTGACAATTATTTGCAGGTGGCAGACAGATGCTGCCGTTGCTTTGTTGTCTTCCTTCCTGACTGTGGTGCAGCTCAGGCTAAGAGGCCAAGTGGGACCTTCAGCTGGGCAAACGCCCAGTTACACAAACAGAAATTGGAATGGTGGGATAACGGCTGGAACTGACTGCAGGGAAGGAAAATGAATGTGGTGTCCGCAGATGATGGTGTAAAACGACACCGTTAGATGCCTGTGCTCAAAGGGCCTTTTGAATGCCCCAGGCGAGCAATGCACCATTTCTATTATGATCTCGCTTCTTCCTGGGGTAAGAAAGGGAATTTTGGAAGTTCAGGATAAGCAGATTTGGGCTGCACAGGTCTGAATGACCACTAGATGGCAGCAAAGAGAAGCAGAAAACTCTGCCGCCATCCCGAATGTTTTGCAATTAGTTATGAGAGTTCTTGAAGAAGTATTGGGAAGTGTTTTTGACCACTGAGAAAAACCTTGAAAGCCTCTACAATGTCATCAACTGTGAAGCTGTTGCTTGCAACAGCCTTCCCCAAGATTCTCTATCTTGCTCCCTGAGGAGGGACTGCTGGGACTTGTGGCCTGACACGTTGGGATGAGGAGAGGAAACAAAGGAAAAAGATTCCTTTGATAAGCACGAGCAGAGCCATTGGGAAGCAGAGCGGCTCCCACGGTACGCCTGGCTCAGGCCGGGGCTTCCCCTCTGCCCTTTGAACGCTTGGGCTGAAAGAGAGAGAGAGAAAGAGAAAGAAAGAGAAAGAGAGAGAACGAGAGAGAGAGAGAGAGAGAGAGAGAGAGAGAGAGAGCGCTCTGCTACGTGGGCAAAGGTAGAACCGAAAACTGCGCGGTTGGAAGGGGCCATGCAAAGGAAGTTGTGTCCATCCCCCCCACAAAGAGCCCAGGTGCTCTGGCCAGGGAGTGGGTGACCCAAGCAGAAAGGACCAAGACCCCCGGGCAAAGGGAGGGACCCCCGTGGCCCAACAAGAGAGTTATGGCAAAAAAACTACTGTTCTTCAGGGGCTAGAAGAATCTAAAAACACCCCGTCACAATATTTAACATTCCACTCCAAACAAGTGCAATTCTTATGCAATTCTTATGCAGCAACTGTTGTGGAAATGGACAGGAGGGGTCAGAAAAACGCCGAAGGGCCACCTGCCCTTCAGGAGGGTGAGGAGAGCAAGGAGGGTGATGCATAGGGTCAGTCAGAAAGTTTTGTTGCCAACAGAGATGAAGTGAGAAGGCAGATAGATAGAAGATAGAGGAACTTTATTCTCACTTTGAATGTACACTAACTGGCATACATTAAAATGGAATTTCATTGCATGCAGCTCTCAAAGGGTCACCACCTCCAATACACACTACACAAACATGACAAAATAAATAAATACAAAATTATGCACATACCCAGAGAAACCATGCAGTCAAGTTCGGATGTATACATGTACACGGTGAGAAAAATGAATCTTGCGTGTTATCAGACGAGTCACATCTGATGATATTGAAGTTTCCAAGCAGAAATATCCACGAGACCATCACAAATTTAGAGATGGACGAGGAGCTGAGAATAGCAGAGGCCACATGCCAAGTTCGGAGGGACCCCCGTTGAATTCCCCACCGGGGTCTTTTGCAGAAACGAACAGGGAATCGGCTCATGTGGGCCACGTCACTATCAGGAACTTCTCCTGAGGCCCCATAGCTGACATTGTGTAATTCACTAGAAACCTGACCTGCCCAATTCCCCTAGTGGACATGCCCAAAGTCCAACCTATAACTAAAAGGTGGGTTTTGGGGTTCTGGATCATTGCTTTTTGACCTTCAGACGGCACTAACGGTTCTTGGCCTGAAACGGTTCCAGGGCTGAGGGATGAGACATGGAAAAGTGCTCCATGCTTTTGGTGGCCCAAGTTGCAATATTGATCCATGTTTTGCAGTCAGGAAAGCTGGAGACATAGAACATAGAAGAAGAGGTTGGAAGGGATCTTGGAGGTCTTCTAGTCCAACCCCCTGCTCAAACAGGAGACTTTATACCAGTCTGTTCAGCCTTTTCTTGAAAACTTCCGGTGGTGAAGACTCTCTTTGTACACAATCCCTAGTGTAAAGATATCTTGATGGCTCTGGGTAGGCTGACTGACTACCTCCCCATCTTTAGCTTGGTTCCAACCAGCCGACCCAAATGAGTAGGAATGTCTTGGACTTTTGACCAATGTGAATGGCAATTTTTTTCCTGCAGCTTTTTTGATTGTTACTTGGCACGTGGGAGCCCTGAGCTCTCTCTGAATGGCTGTTGTGCTTCTCTCTCCATGCAGCTCTGCAGACAAGGTGAGGCTCCATTTTATTAACCGGGATGGAGAGAAATACTCGGTCAGCGCCAGAGAAGGGGAAAGTCTGCTGGAGGTTGTGATAAATCAAAATATTAACATCGATGGCTTTGGTTAGTGGTGAGATCCTGCCTTTCTCTCTTCAGGCTCTTTTGCTTACCAATAATCTATTTTTTTAGGAGTTGGCAAGATTGTTTTACAGACTGGTCTAGGCACCAAAACACCCACCTCCTGAGATCTGTACCTCACCTCTGTTTACATACAGGAAAGCCTTAGGGGTCCCAAATCTTCCATTCTGAGGGTTGAAATATCTCCTCCCCTGAAGATGTTACCCAGCCTGGTAACGAAATCTTTGGAAACCAATCCACAAGCTCGGAGAATGAACTCTTACTCTCATCCTACATCTGAGCTACAGATATTCACCACTATCGCTAGTTCAATCTTCTTCCGGTCAAAGGATGCTTCTCATCATCCTGCTGTGGTGATGGGGCCATTTTGTGACTAGGATATGGCTGCCATTTTGTGAGTGCACCCACAACACACTTTTCACATTCCAAGCGTGCGTCTACCACTAAAGTATGCTCACATCCAAACGATCACCTCTTACACGCAAGTATTTACTTAAGTTTGCTTCATCCATCCACTCCATTTACATGAAGAATAAAATACAAAGCAGCAGGTTCCTCCACATTTGGATCCCCGTATGGCAGAAAAACTTGGGGAAAGCAATAACCGAGCCCCAGTTTGTTTCTGAATTATTTTAATTTTCACACCTGTAATATATAATGTAGCTCCGTCCAACCAATTCTCTAGTGCATCCTGTGTTTTCTTGCAACACGGCACCGTTTGCTTTCATCGGTGCTTTCTAAAATTGAGGGAGGAAAGCTGATGCTCTTGATTTTTGGTGGCTCTCCTGAGTTTATAGAAGGCAGGCAACACTGTCAACCTGCAAAAGGAGCCCTGCATGGTTTCTGCTGACGACGGCGGCCTCTTTTCTCCCGCAGGGGCGTGTGAGGGCACCCTGGCCTGCTCCACTTGCCATCTAATCTTTGAGAAAGCAGCATTCCAGCAACTGGGTGAGATCAGTGACGATGAACTGGACATGCTGGACTTGGCCTATGGACTGACTAACACGTAAGCATCCTGGGTGCCCCTTCCTGGGTGCATTCGAGGGTGGGGGGAGAAGAAGGGGGGCATTTCCAACTCTGCACTCTGGCTATGTTTCAATGAAAGGGAGAATGCAAGTTGCTCGTCTACCTGGCTCCGAGGACTCTTTCCTGGGGAGCAACCCCAAGCATGTTGCGCCTGTTGCATAGATGTTGGTAAGCTCAGTCAGTTTGCCACACCTGGAAAAAAACATTGAGAAGGCCTCCTACAGGATCCTGCCCAGCCTCACATAAGTGGAAGCATAATTATGTAGAGAAGAGAAATGCTGGCTTATCCAGCTACTTTCTGGACCAATTTGCCTTGGGCATCCCTTTATAGGGTAAAGGTAAAGGAAACTTCATTGCCATCTCTAGGGGCTGCAGCTCATCTCTGGCAGTGAGCCAGCGCTGTCCGAAGACATTGCTGCGGTCACGTGACCAGCAGAACATCATGGGAAGGTTATCTTCCTACCGAAGTGGTACCTATTTATCTACTCACATTTGCTTGCCATTGAATTGCTAGGTGGGCAAGAGCCGGGGTGAGGCTGGATGCTCACCCGATTGCGTGGCGCTTGGGTCTTGAACCTGGGCTGCCGATAAGCCCAGCTTATCTTAACTACTGAGCCAGCAAACTGCCCATAAAGAGTCTTTCGGATTTTTATTTTGATCGTCATTCTCAGCTCTCGGGGTGGCATTTTGAGCTGCATCTAAGGGCTGGGTTCACCAGGGACACCAAAGGCCGCCTGTCCTCCTGCAGATGGTGGGTAACTTGGCAAGATGTTAGCTGTTGCATGCTAGGAAAGTGATGCCCGAATCCAGATGTTTGCACCTGCTTTTCAGATCTCGTCTGGGTTGCCAGGTGTGTGTGAAGAAATGGATGGATGGCCTGACTGTCCAGGTGCCCACAGAGGTCTCAGACATCAGGAGAGAACTGGAAGTGGAGAAGCAAAAGAAACAGTAGCCGAAGCACGTGACACGCTCTGCAAATATTATCCTGACCCTGTTAGAAGAGGGGAGGCCTTTACTTTCCAGACTGAAAGCAAACACCCTAAACCAACCAAACCCCATTTCTGAGTTCACATGACTTGCTGCGCCCAACAAACTCAAGTATACAGTGGCTTAATATGACAGCTTAGTTCAGCTTACACATGGAAAGAACCACTGGGGCGTCTGACCACTTGGCCGTGTGCCGCACAGCCCCGTTTTAGCCCACCTTTGGGCTGTGGAGCCAGGCCAGCTCCTGAAAGGGGTTCAGTGCTCAGAATCTGTAGCCTCAAGCAACCAACCTGGATTGGGATGAAAAACTGGCGACCTCTGGGGCTCATTTCTGACAGAGAGATTGAGAGAAACTGCGGCGCGTCTGCTGCTTCCCAGGAAGCTTCTTGTGGGCTGGAGAGAATGGATGGGAGGAAGATGGTGGAGTCCCAAAGTAGCAGCCCCCTTCCAGCCTATCAGTCCCCTTCCGACGGGCTGGGGTGCTCTTACTTAGAGCCCCCCTCCCTCCCACCCAGGGGCCACTCTGTGAGACAGAGGAGGGGCAGGACTCACCCCAACTCAGCCAGCGAAAGCCACGTCAAGCTCAGTCGGTCGCCTCACGGGACCTGGGGTCCCCTTGGAGGTTTCCCTTCCACCAAGTCTAGCCCTGCTTAAGTTCCAAGCCCAACTTTGGCCTTTGTAGACTGGAGGCCCATCCACGTTGTCGCTGATCCCTGAGCACTGAATTTGAGGGAGAGGGAGAGGGAGGGAGGGAGGGAGAGGCAGTGAATGATTGGGGCTTATTGCTGGCTATGAAGGTCTTTGTTGTGGTTTTCACTGTGGATTATTTCCTTGCAGCGTGCATTTTTACAAAGTGTATTTGGAAGAATTTCCCCTTTACAGCTACTCATGCCAAATATTATTCTGTTGGAAAAATAGGAATAAAAACATTCAAAACAAACCAAGAAAATACCTAGCAATTGTCAGATGGGGAGATGCAACTTTCTGTAGGGGAAACTCTGCATAACCTGGGGAGGCAGTCAAAGCTCCGCATGGAGTAAATTTACTGGAAATTGAACTATCTACTGAAGTCAAGACTTTCCATCGGCGTGAAACTATATCATATGAAACAATATACAGCACACAGTAAATGTAATCAAATCTCATGCTGCACCATATTAGAAGCGCTTGTGAAGTCTCCCTGAGAAATCTCAGCTGCACTTTTAAGCTTGCCCGGATAATTGTTTCTCACAATAATTAATCAGATTCCCCCCCCCCTCAAAAAAATCCTTGATGTTGTAGAGATTTGGATCGTCTAGGAGAGAAAAGGTATATCAAGGTGGAGGTATTCTGAAGAGCTTAATACCGCTGGCAATCGTTAGTAACCAAATAGTAAATTCTGAACTAAACACTTATTTTTAAATGCAGTTTTTATATTTGACAATGTTTATGCATCACATCAACTTCTCTTTCCCGTAGCAAGGCCCTGTACATTTCCCTGAGGATAATTAAATAAATGTTTCTTGGTACTGTTTATGTTAATTCTCCCCAAGAGATTATTTTGAGTAATTGGACATCAAACTATGCTTTTCATTTCGAAATAAGCATTTTAAAAAATAACGAATTCTTGCCTCTCTGGACCAGGCTCGGCAGAGGCCAAAGGTGGTCTGCATCCCCCAGTTTGCCAGTCACAATTGATCCGGTGTTTGCCGCCTTGTCCAAAATGCAACACCTGGGAAGTCCAGCCACTTCTTCCTGCAACGCATCCGTTACAGGGGTCACTCTGCAGGCCTGCCTTGGGAAGGGATCCCGACCTTTGGTCATCTGAATTAGCCTTTGATGTCAGTGCTAAAGGGGAAAAGCGTATCCCCGCCAATTTCCAAATAACTGGCAAGAGCAGGGGAGGGGAAGGGGTTGGGAGGAGAGTGGGGGCTAGAAGGTCAAAGACTGGGGATTGGATCACACAATATTTTAGACTAGCCAAAAATCCTCCTGAGTCAAAATGTGAGACACCCAACTGTTGTTTCAGTGGTTGTGTGAACTGGAGGCTTTTAAGAAGAGTCCGGACAGCCACTTGTCTGGAATGATCCATGACCACCTGCTTGGATTAGAAGACCTCCAAGGTCCCTTCCAACTCTGTTATTCAATCATATTAAGCCACGGGGGGGCTTCATAGCTTAGGGCTTTGAATTTAGCATAGTACAGGAGGCAGATGCACCAACCATATTTTGAAAATCCAAGTTTTAGCTTCTGCATGGGATGGGAATCTATCTGAATAACAGTTCTGGAGGCAGGAGGAGTAGAGAACTTCTGGGGAGAGCAAAAAGGGTGAGGTGAAAGAGTCAAGGAAAGTACGTGCATAGAAGGGAGGGGGAGGGTCAAATACCCAGGGTCCCAAGGATATAAGAGCAAAGGTCCAGGAGCAACATACTCCAAATTCCCAAAGAGAAGTCTTGCAGCCAGGGAGACCCACAGAAGAGTCACTGGAAGTCCAAAGCCAGCCCAGGCCAAGTCCAGGTGGAGTCCCCAACCCCAGGGCCAGGGGCGCCCCACTACGTGGCTTTGAGCCTTTGGGAAGCAGGCCATGGAAGTGGTGGCCGAGCCCATGTTCGTGTGAGCAGGTGGGTGAACATGCCCATCACTCATGCAAATGGAGCTGCAGGTGCATGCACACTCAGCCATCCTGCACATAGAACATCCCCTCTCCCCCCCACCGGTCTGCAAAGTCAAAAAGGTTCACGAACTCTGTTCTAGAGCAATGTTCCTCTACTTGAAGACGTGTGGACTTCAACTCCCAGAATTCCCCAGCCAGCCCTGCTTCAAGTTGTTGCCAAGGTTGAGCAACGCTGCTCTAGAGGAGGAAGCCAGGGTCCAAAAGTCAAGGGACTGGGTCGCCAAGAGTCAGCATTCCAGGTGGTGGTCCTTCATATTACTCTGGAGCAGTCCTTCCAATTGCAAAGGGACTCAGGTTTACAAATCCAGGACACTGCTTTGCATGATGGAAATGTTCTGAGGCACAGAATTTTGTACTGGAGATATCCTGCGCTTACTTTCCTGGTGCTGAGCCAACCTGAACGCGTGGCAAAATCATCCAGGCTACTCTGGAATATCCCTCCAGCCCCAGGCAGCCTTCCTTACCAGCTGCTCTGACTTCTACCTTCTGTTCACTGGCATGAGGGCAGCTGGATCTGGGCAATGCTGGGCAGAAAGCCAAGGTTGGGGAAACCTGGTCATGCGGAAGATGGGTTGTTTAAACAAGCAAGGAATTAGCTTTTATCAATAACATGATCGGGGTTGTACAATATTTGTATAGTCTTCCTATTCTTCTATTCCCCAGCTCGAAGGATATATACATATTATAGTGTTTCACAACTTTAAAACTTCAACTCCCAGGACTTTTTTTTTTGCATTAACTTTTTTTTTGGCTGCTACGGCACATGGTGGGCTCAGGTGATTGTCCATTAGACTCCAAAATTCCTAATCTGTACTTGTACATTTGATTTTTTTTTTTTGCATAAGTGTAAACCTTACTTTCCTCTATATTAAATTTCATTTTGTTGGATAGGGCCCAGTGTTCAAGTCTGTCAAGATCCCTCTGGATCTTGAGCTTGTCTTCTGGGCTGTTGACTATTCCTCCCAACTTCATGTCATCTGCAGATTTCATGAATTCCCCTTCTATCCCCTCTCTAAGTCATTTATGACAATATTTCAGAATACTGGGCTCAAAACAGAATCTTGGCCTACCCCACTGCTTACTCCCCTCCATGTAAATGTAGTACCATTATTGTGTTGAAATCCATATATCTTGAACTGGCTGAGGTTGACAAACACTGATCTATAAACGTGTCACTCTGAACGATGGTGCTTTACTTCAGCTCAGACCTCCAGCTCCTTCTGACCTTCATTTCCCTCCCAAATCCTCCCTCAATTCCTTCTCTTTTCAGAATTTAAAACTAGGCGAAGGTGCCTTGTGTTATCCTGCTGTGAGTTATGGTTTTAATAGCATTCATCACTCTATCATTCAAAATTCGCTCCAGTTCTGATCTCCATCACAATTCATATTTTCTTAGCTGATGTTGTTCCAGGAAGTTTTATAACTATTTGAGCAAACATTATCCCATTATGCCCAATTAGATCATGCAGGATCGACATTTTGTTTACTGGATTGAGTTGCAGTAGGGACAACCTCCCCAAATATGGGCAAATGGGAGAACTGCAAACTTCTAAATTCAACAGTAGAGAGGACATTAAGTACTTCTACAAATCCAACTTGTGCCATTTTGACATTAAAATGTCCTCTTCTTTGGTAAACTTATCAAAATGCTACTTTCTGGATTTAGGGTACTTTGCAATATGTCAGCTTGGTGGCTTGTGTCCCCCAGACAGACCCAGGACATAATTTGGAGGTTCTCTTGGCCTCATGACTCCTGATAGAGGAGAGGTGGCAGTTGTGACCAGGAGGGCCTTTGTGCAACTGTCGATTGTGCGCCGGTTATGTCTTTTCCTGGACCAATAATCCCTGCTCCTAGAACTAAGGAGAAATTTCCTAATGGTGAAAACAATTAACCAATTAACCAAATTCCTGTAGAAGTTGTGGGTGCTCCAACAATGAAGGTTTTCAAGAAGAGATTGGACAGCCATTTGTATGGAATGGTATAGGGTCTCCGGCTTGAGCAAAGGAGCTGGACTAGAGGACCTCCAAGGTCCCTTCTAATTCTGTTATTCCGTATTTTGTCCCTCTGCCCGCTTCTTTTCTTCTTTTTCCTAATCTCCTTGAAACATGTGTTTGTTCTGTGGGATGCAATGTACCAGAGATGATGCACACTGTCTGGTGGAGTTGGACATCGAGCATTTGGTGGTGGGTACCAAATGCTAGCACAATAGCCTCACGTGAAATAAGCCAAGGCTGTTGTTTGTAAGGGGTCAGCATCAGCACCCCAGGGTGTTCCAGCCAGTTTGTGCAGTAAATTGTTGCAGCTTTGCAATTTTGCAGCTGTTTTTTCCCAAGGTTGCCGGAAGGTTAGTGATCTGTCCAAAATTACCCTCAGGTACTTCAGAGGTGTCACATTGAAAAATATGGTCCTGGGACTTCACTGAAGGCTGGTAATTTGCGTATCTGTTGCTGAGGTGGAATGTGGCTACTTCTGTTTTCATGAGGCTTGGTTGGAGGTGCCGTGCTTTGAAGAAGCCATCCAGCTTCTGGAGATCTTGAGAAGGGATGTCCTCTGCATCCCTGGAATTGGTTCTTTGGGCTGAGAGATTGAAGCATCGGCATAAACAAATTTCTGAGAAACGGGTCCAGGCAGGCCATGGGTGTACAAGTCAAAAAGTTAAAAAGGGCAGGGGGGATAGTATTAATCCTAATAGTCCATTGTTCAACTTATGATATCAGCTTCTATTGAATTCTGTGAAAACTTGAAATCACCTATTACCCAACATGTTGTCAATCAAGGCAATGGTGTTACGACAAGGTATACTA